GCGCATCGACGCTAGGATCAGTGAGCTCTGTCTCGTCCAAACTAACTTCCTTGCCCGATCCTATGGTGCACACTGATGCTAGGATCAGTGAGCTCTGTCTCGTCCAAACTAACTTCCTCGCCGGATCCCACGACGCGCACCGACGCTAGGATCAGTGAGTCTTGTCTCAATCTCTCAAAAAACTAAAACGCCTCGGCTGCACAACGACGCCTTGGTTAAACAAACTCCGTCCCAACTAAAAACACACACGCACGACCGCTACAGAACACCCCCAGACGGTTCTGCCCGAACCACCCGACGGCTACACCCGCGGGTGCGCTAGCGCGCACCTGGTGACAAAACAGAAACCTCCCCCACTGACAACATAGAAAACCCCCTAGACGGTTCTACCCGAACCGCCTGGGGGCTCAGGGGCTACACCCACGGGTGCGCTCGCACGTACCCGCCGTCAAAAATAAAATTCCCCGGACGACTCTGCCCAAATCGTCTAGGGGCTCGGGGGCTCCTGTCGGGTTTATAAACCCGGGGTCCCTCGGGGACCGGCTTCCACGCCAAGGCTCGGCCCAAGCAGACAGCGCACAACTCATGGGCCGACCCGAGGGTCTAAAACAACAGGCCGAAAGGACGGTCTAGTCACCGACCGGAAGGTCTGGCCGAAGAGGAACAACGCCCGCTCGTCGACTACTTCGGCCCACCTCTCCGACCGGAGCGCTCGCTTCGAACTCCAGCCGCCTCCGGGTGGCCTCTCCGATCGGAAGGCCTGGCCCGAAGCGCTACTTCTGACTCTGACCCCACGTCGCCGACCGGGGTTCGTAGAAACCCTACTCACCGCTCTTCTCCGACTAGCACGACCAGGGCCGACTGGGGCCATCCGACCGGGGACACCCGCTCGGAAGGAACCAGGGGACGAACGGAGAAAGCAAGCCAGGGCACACAAGTCAAACCATGATACTAGGGACCATACCCTGTACACCTGCAGGAACAGTACTCTGCAACCGCCCCGACACAAACAGTATTGTAGGCGCCGATGTTTCCCTCTACAGTATTATAGGCGCCGTTAACTCCCATACGGTAAGGCCCCCCACATGCCTCTGGCCATCGATAGTGTTGTGGGCGCCGGGATTTACCGTACTAGGTGAACGTGGTGAAACTCCTCATACGTCTCTAGGCATCAACAATATTTGGAGGTACCGACATCTGCCATTTCTAGAGAAGGCGATGCAACCTTCCATGTGCATCTGACATTCTACAGTGACAATCAACAGTGTTGTAGGCGCCTACCATTATCTTGTACCCGCCGGCATGGGCAACAGAGCCCAGTAGCATATGTACCCTCACCCTCTCACTTGTAAAGCCATCCCTTTTATCTATAAAAGGGGATGTGCTCCCTCCAACAAAAGAGAGCCTTTTTAGTCCTTTTTAGTTAACCAACATCGATCAAGTTCACTAGCTCACAACCACAGAACCGCCGGGTTCGGACCTCAAGCACACGCTTGAACACTTAGCTCATAGCGGAGCTCCTGTCGCTCTCGGCCCTTCCGACCGGAGCCGACCGGACCTCTTATACACCCCATCTTTCTCCTTCTCGTTTGTAACCCCACTGCAGACTTCGAGCATCTGGGCTTAGGAATAAAGTCACCGACCGATTTAAACTGGACGTAGGGCACGTTGCCTGAACCAGTATAAACCCTGTGTCATTGAGTGCTAGGCCACCTCCGATCACAACGTACTATAAAACTACAAATATTTATTAGTTGGTCACATTCTGCACCGAAAAGTTGATTGTAGAGTAAAGGAGATACCGCAATAACCATAGTTGAGGAGTCTATTTGACACCTAGATGTGTTTTAAAAACTTTTCGCAGCAAAGAATGAGATGTAACCATGCTATGCATTCATGCTAGTTATGTCATATGTTTTTGTTCGAAAAGTTTTCGAAACGTGTTTAGATATCAATTAAAATGTTTTGGTAAATTTGCTCTCTACATATTTTCCATTCTCCTAGAATTTAATCTATGTTTTAGAGTTTCCAGAGATATTTTCACGAGCTCTATTTTATTTGGATTTTGTGTATCATAATCTACATCTATGTTTTTATTGGAATTTTAGAAGTTTAGAAGTATTTTCTGTGTATTAAAAATTTTATCAAGTTTTTAACTAGAATTCTAGAAATGATAAAACTATCTTCAGAACCCATTCAAACCGTATAGTGAGGTCATTTGAACAATGTTCAGAAGAATCTATTGTGGGGTAAAATGTCTCGTTTTGAAGTTTGAGAAGAAAATTCGCTCGATGATAGTTTGCGTAGGGAAAAGGCACTCTTTTCCACAAAGGTCCGAGATAATCTCCAAGCCTAGATGGTGGCTCGGCCCACATAGTGTTAGAGGCCCTATCTCTGACGTACTCCATCCATTTCATAAAAAAAGTCATTCTCACTTCTCAAAAAGTCAACTATCTTCAAATTTGACTAAATATATATCACAAAAATATTAATATTTATTTATGATACATAATTAGTATTACTGGATAGATCTTTGAATATATTTTTATAATATACTTATTTGTAAATACAAATGTTGCTAATACTTTTTACAAATCTAGTCAAACTTTGACCAGCACTAGTCTCATAACAATTAATTTTATGAGATGGAGGGAGTAGGTAGCTTATGACCCAACTTGCAAGGGTAGAATGCAGATCATGCCAATCTCGCCGCGTTGGCGTGTTCCACTTTGAGGCACCTCGCAATCTCCATCCCATGCAATCATTGGCGGATCGGTAATGCTACCTACCAGATGTCTGACCCGTCGTACGCAGCTCCTCCACTCATTCGCTCGCTATTAAAAAATCCACCACTACGCTCATCCTCCACTCATCTCGCTGGCCCGCTCACCTCTCACACCCTCCATCGCGTGCACCGCCCGCTCCCTCCATGGCCGGCAGCAGCGCCCTCATCCACCCCGACGCGTGGCCATGGCTGCCACCCTGGCCGGTGGTGGTGCCCCCACCCATCCCAGCAGCTCCTTCCCACACCCCGGCGGGGCCCCTCCCCCACCCCGGCGTCCTCCCTCATACCGGCGTCCTTCCCCACCAGGAGCCCCCAACACCCGTAGATCTGGCGGCCTTCTCCCCCACACCAACGAGATCCATGGAGCATGAGCTAGATCCTTTGGAGGTGACATGGCGGTGTTGTAGGGGAGTCAGTGACGCTCCTCCTCCTGGGTGAGACGCCCTCCCCACCCCTGGAGGCGCCCTCTCTCACCTCGACAACCGTGCTTCTCCTACCCTGGCGGCCATGGCACGCCCTGTGCTAGGCTCTCTCTCCCTATGTTGCATATGTATGTTTTAGGTGTTTCAGACGTTTTAGATGTATGTTGCATTTGTTTCATATATGGATGTTGTTGCAAAAGTAGATCAAGCGACGTTGCACATGTTGCATATGTTGCAATTGTTTCAGAGGTATGTTGCAAGCGTATGTTCGAGAGTTTTAGATGTTTCAGAGGTATGTTTTCTAGACGCATGTTGCAAGTGTGTTTATCTGGATGTTGCATATGTTTCACACATATGTTGCATATGTTTTATTTAGATGTTTACGTATGGTTGTAATGGTTTTTAGGTGTTTTTAAGTGTTTCAGAAGCATGTTTATGTGTTTCAATTGACTTCAGATGTATGCTGCAACTGTTGTATTTGGATATTTTAAAAGTAGATCGGGTGTTGCATCTCTCGTCCTCACCTTCTAGCTGCATCGTCTCTCACAGCGCCGGGAGGGCATCCACACGACGCCGCTGCCAGGTCCTTCCGAATCGGAGGTGCCGCGCGCCCTTCTTCTCTTATCGCTTGGGCAGCGCGGGCCCCACGTGGAGCGCGAAACGGAGTGTAGTGCACGGGCATTCCTAAGGATGTCCAAAACGCTAGCACTTCCATTGACGGATTGGCCTGCCCGGTTTTTTTTTGAGCAAATAGAAACAAAACCTAACCCGTTTTCAGGTTGGAGTTGAACCAATCACGTCGACGCCTGAGTCGCTGATAGATAGCGGATAGGATCACATATTACATCAAGGGACGGCATATACAGTCACGTTGGCTGATACAAACGCCGTGTCCTGGCTAACAGCGAGCCCAGCCGTCGATGACCACGCTTATAAAATCTACGCCTAAAGGTCTTTAGTTCGCGCGGCGTGGAACGGGACTGCGACGGCGGGCAACGTGTCGCTTCAGCTGCAGGTTAGTTGGGTAGTTGATCCCAGCACGTCCTGCACGGGGGTGTCGGGGTGATCGATCAAAAGCGACAAGCCAGCCATGAACCATCTGATGCGATGCTACCGCCGATTCAGCTGGACCTGGACTGGTCTGGCGCAAGCAAGGAACAAACGCCCCAACACGTCCGCGGAGAAGGCGAGACGCAACGAATCATGGCATCCAGGCATGATCGAGCCCGAGCGCCCGCTGCATGCATGACCCGGCCGGCTTCTCTCCTGCCCGCGCCAAATGCTTTCCATCCATCCAAGCAAACCCAAATGGCATCTCATATACCCCTCCGTCAAATATTTTATTAGGAGCAGTAGTTCCATTCTTCTTCTGGCTCCGTTCGCTTCGCTGAAAAAACAAGCCGAAACATTATTCCGACGGATTTGTTACGAGAGAGAAACACTGTTCTGACTGAAAAATAAGCTGAAAAGTACGGATTATAAGACAAGCGAATATGGCCTCTGCAACCAACCACTGTAGACTTTCAAAATTAATTATTATCTGCCCCCTAACGAATCGCAGCAACGAGACATGGAACGGGTCCGGCGTTTCAGAGGAACGTGTGGGTGCACCAACCACTGCAGAGTTTCAAAATCAATTCCTGAACAAGCAGCTGTACTTCCAAATCTTGGCTTCCATCTCGTCGCCGTTGCACCACCCTCCCATTCCGCTCGCGCTCTGTCCGGGTCCAAATCCGCGTCTTTGTCGCGCATTGCATTATTGGAGGATCGATCGAACTGGCGCCACCGCACTAATGATCCCCTTCCCCCTCCTCCTCGCCGGCGCCCTCGTCCTGCTCGTCGTCGGCGTCGCCGATGCCCTGTCCGGTGAACCTCTCATCACTTCCGCCATTATTATTCTCTCGTTTCCTCCTGCGTAGGTATAGTACTTGATGAGCTGTTCGTCGCGTCTTATTATTCCCTGATGAGTTGGCTCGCTCACCTCGCACGCAGGGTACCAGATAAGCTGCGGCGCGACGTCGGCCAAGGTCGCCGGGAACGTGACATGGGTCCCCGACGGGGCGTTCATCCACGTCGGCAAGGCCGCGGAGCTCACCGGCTCCCTGGGGGTGATGCCCATGCTCTCCTTGCTCCGGTACTTCCCGGCGTACGCGTCGTCGGCCGCCACGACGAAGTACTGCTACGTGGTCCCGGCGGCGATGCACGCCAGGTACCTGGTCCGCACGACGTACTACTACGGCCGGTTCGACGGCGGCGGGGCGCCGCCGGTGTTCGACCAGATCATCGACGGCACGCGGTGGAGCGCCGTGGACACGGCGGGGGACTACGCCCGGGGCCTCGCCACGTACTACGAGGCCATGGTGGAGGCGGCCGGGAAGGAGGTCAGCGTCTGCCTCGCCAGGAGCGCAGCCACCGCGCCCGGACGGAGCCCCTTCATCAACGCGCTCGAGGTGGTGCCGCTGGAGGGATCCGTGTACAGCGCCGTCAACTTCACCGCCTACGTGCTGAGCACCGTCGCGCGCCACAGCTTCGGCTACGACGGCTCCATCATTGGGTAAGCAAAAGAATAAAGAACCGGCCGGTGGCGGCCGGTGGGCGCCATTAATTCATGGATGTCTCGGCGAGAACGAAGATACGGCGGCCAACTGACTGACCGTGTCTCGTGCGAAATGTGCGATCTAGCTATCCAGGTGACCGGTTCAACCGGTACTGGGAGCCGTACAGCGACGGGAGCATCCCGGTGGTGGAGAGCCAGGCGAGCGTGGCGACGGAGGCGTTCTGGAACAAGCCTCCGGAGGCCGTGTTCCGGCGAGGCCTGACGGCGAGCCGAGGCAAGAGCCTGGACCTCCAGTGGCCGCCGGCGCCGCTCCCGGCCGCGACCTACTACCTAGCGCTCTACTTCCAGGACAACCGGGGGCCGAGCGCGCTCAGCTGGAGGGTATTCGACGTCGCGGTCAACGGCCAGCCGTTCTTCACCGGCCTCAACGTCTCCACGGCGGGGTCCATGGTGTACGGCGCCCAGTGGCCGCTGTCCGGGCAGACGAGGATCACGCTGACGCCGGCGCCGGGGTCCCCCGTCGGGCCGTTGATCAACGCGGCAGAGCTCATGATGGTCGTTCCGCTCGGAGGGAGGACGCATCCCAGAGACGGTAACCTCCTGTCCTGATCGGTGCACTTCGGTGTCATCCATGGCTGATAGATACACGGACACTGTTTGCTCACATCACACATCTCCTTGCTGCTGCAGTAATCGGCATGCAGGAGCTGGCCAGAGGATTCATGAACCCGCCGTCGGACTGGAGAGGTGATCCTTGCTTGCCCAAAGGGAACTCGTGGACTGGTGTCACCTGCAACCAAGATCCACTCGCAAGAGTAACAGGGCTGTAAGTTTGCAGCACCAGTCATATGACAACGGATTGTCCTCTTGTATATACTTCTGTTGAACAATGAATAATGGTCAGTTTGGTCATTGCAGCAACCTCACAAATTTCAGAGTTGGAGGATCGATATCTGACAACATTGCCAACCTGACTGCAATTTCGAGCATGTAAGCTTCTGGAATTAAGTGATGTAGATTTGCTTGCTAAGTGAAAAAAAATTGATTGCTGAAATTGAAGCGATAACTGTTGCAGTTGGCTTGTTGGGAACAATCTGGCCGGATCGATTCCAGATTTGAGCCCCCTGCATCATCTAGTCTCTTTGTAAGTATAATAATAATGACGATGGGTAATATAATCACCAACGGCTAAATATCCCTTTCTGGTCCTGGATAATCTGACGTTGAAGATATTGGTTGCTTGTTTTACCTAATCCCGTTGCATTCCTGATTGGAAATTTGAAGGCACCTGGAGGACAACGGACTGACAGGCCCGCTCCCTGAATCGCTCGGAAACCTTACAAGACTTGAGGAACTGTAAGTGCCTCTAATGTTTATTAATCCACTCTACTGTACGTAGGACAAATAGTTGCTCTATTACTCAGTGATAATCCTTGGTTCTTATTAACCTACTGACCACTCGAATTACTTCCTGTTTCGCAGGTCTGTGCAGAACAATAACCTACAAGGAACAATCCAAAGCAGCATCAGGAACAGAGCGATGGTAGACTTCCGGTTTAGGTTCCAGTAAGTGACTACATTTGGCGCTTGTGGTTTTCGTAGCATCCTGGGGTGAATGACGAATTACTTGCTGTACGCTGACAGGTACACACCTGGGAACAACCTTAGCTAACAAGGGCATTACAAGAAGGCAAAATCATTTGACTGGTGGTCTTTTATCATGGTGTTGTTTTTCTTACCTAATTTCGGGTGCTTGGGACCCTTTTCCTATTCTTTTTGGAATCATGGTATTTTTTTGTACTATTAAATGTAAACCTAATCTTTTCTGTAAAGATGCATTTTGTCAAAGAAAAAACGAACACTATATTTTCTTGAATGAGAAAAACAAGAAGGCAAGTTACTTACTTAGAAAAATTCATAAGAGCGATGCGTGTACAACCCATCCGAACAACTTCTTTGTCACCAGAATGTCAATCGTTGAGTGATCGCTCACTTATTATTACAAAAAAAAAAATGTGAAGCATTTCTCAGTTCAGAAATGCTTCTATGGCAGGCCATGCAATCCAGCCCGGAGTTATTCTGCAGCCCATGAAGCTCAGCCCAGCCCGTTGTCCCAATTGGCCCGTACTGTCCCAAGATATCGAGTCAAGATATCTCCCCGTCCCCGTGTCTTACTCTTGTCGGCTCAATTATCTCCTCATTCCTCGCGCTCGTCGCCCACTTCGCCGTCGCTGCAAACTCCCACTCCCGCCTCTTCGCCGGCGATGCCCGCCGCTTCCCACACCCAAACCTCCCCCGCGTCTCAATGACGACTCCCCCGAACCCCTCCCCGCTCCTCTGCTCTCGCCCCAACCCCTCCCTTCCTCTCCACCGCCGCCCTCGGTTCCCCCACTCTCCGGCCGCCGCCAACACAACCGGCGCCGCCTCGGCGCCGGACTGGTTCCGCCCTCGCCGTCCTCCGGACACGGACCCGTCCACCTCCCCCGGCGGCCGCGTCGCCGCGCGCGATCCTGGCGTTCGCGTCAAGGCCAAGGAGGGCGCCGAGGAGGAGAAAGGTAAGAAGGGTAAGAGGAGGAGATGGTGGGAGCGGTGGTCGGGAAACAAGGAGAGCTACCTGGTGGATGATGTGGAGCCGCTCCCCATCCCCTTGACCGTACCAGAGACCGAGCCCATGTCGCGGGAGGAGCTCAACCGCCGGCTTAGCTGCGACATCAAGATCGAGGTGAGTGCGGCAGGCCGAGGCGAAAGCTTCAATTTCTGTGTTCTTTTTGGCGGCTTGGGTTTGGGCGAGGTGATGAGTTTGGGATGTGTGAATTTGGGCTGTAGGATTGCAAGACGGTTTCGTACGAGTGGACGGGCAAGTGCCGGAGCTGCCAGGGGACGGGGCTGGTCAGCTACTTCAGGAAGAAGGGCAAGGAGACCATCTGCAAGTGTGTGCCATGCGCCGGCATTGGTAAGATGAGATTTTCTCGAACTTGATTTCCTTACATGGTACAATATTGATGCTTTTAATAAGAGTAAAACATTTAGAGAGATCAAGGACAAAGGTGCCCAGAACATCTTACTGGTAGACCTACCATAAATCAAGACTTGAGCTTTGTGAAGATGTGATGTCATTGTGATGAACTACTAGCTGGATAGATAATATACTTTGTCCAGTAGAGCCGTTGCTGGTGGAGGTGCAATTCTATTATGGATCACATCATAATTTTAAAATTACAACACTAGGGTGGTCCGAACTTTGAACCCCATGGCTAAGTTATTTGCTGCACCTTGAGTTCGTAACCTTGGGCACTAGAACTTTTTTGAGAAGAACCTTAGATTGTCATAAATTGAACTGTATGTTTAGGAATAAACAGCCTATTGCCAATGGCTCTAATTCCTAAGAGCTTCAGCATTCACTATTTTTGCCATACGGCGTATTTGTTTCTGTTTGCATTTGTGTATTGATACTTATTGATTATAATACACCATAGGTGTTTGTATTGGAAATCTGTTCAGCAGTAGGTCTGAGAATTGACTAAATTTTCTTGTGAAATGGTGCTTATTCAGTCACAGAAAATATAACTCAGGTTTGTTTGCAAAGTTTGAGATCCTTATAATCTTTTGCTAGTGGAGTTGCGCTGGTGTATCATCTCCCTGGTATTGTCTGAAGTAATATATAGTTAATGGTTAATGTCCTATGGAAAAATATGTACATGAGAATAGTTCTGGGGATATTCATATCAATGGTTCTCTGTGTTGTTCTAACAGACTGTCTTTGGTTTATACAAGTATACCATGGATGCTAATCACACAAGAAACTAGAATGGACATGGTTGCAAGTTTTAGTTGGTAGGCATGATGACAAATTATCGATGTCATAGTAATAAATTACTGAATAAACTGTAGATTTCTTGGTTCTCAGGACAATTCAGTGGTGATTGAATATGAGATTTCTAGTTTATGCATTGAACAGCGATACAGGATAGTCCCTCAGCTCGTGTCCTCGTGGGTTTACATACGGGACATCTGAACTGAGCTAACCCTGTTAATTAGCAGCATGCATATGAATGATATAGTATATACTAATGATCTGAAGACAGTAAATGTGCAGCAGTTCTTTTTTAAACAGGATTGTATTATAACATTAATATGTATAGCAGTACATTAGCACCTTCCATGAAGGTGTAGAATACATCCTCAACAAGCAAAACCTTACACCACGCACAAAGATGCGGACACCTGAACAGGAAGATCCTGGAGGACGTGAAGTGTAGAAGGGTGTGGTCGAGTTGACCGCACTGAGGTCACCAATATTTGTGTCATAGGACTGAAACTGACTCCGATGGCGTTGAGGTGACAGGGCTTCTGCAATGGAGGATTGGGCAGACCCCGCTCACTGGCTTGACAATGCACCTACCCTGGAAGATTTTTTATTTGATTGCCGGCGAAGTGTAGGAAATGGAGAAGACAGAACCCTCGATGAAGGGCGCGCGGATCAATGAATGATGGCATGGGCAAATGTGGTGAAGACTGATGTTGAGAACTGTTCTCAGGCGCAGAAAGTCGAGAGGAGCGCACCAGGCGTCGAGGCACTACCCAGCAAGCAGATCCGGCGGTGGGGTGGTTGAACTGGCTGCCTGTCAGAGGGGAAGGGGGGGGATTTCTGGAGATGTGTTCAGTGGTGATCGGCAACAGCTTTTTAGTGTGTCTAAGATGAGATACTAATGATAGTACATAAACTACAGAGTACAGACAACTCTTTATTATGTAGCGATAGATATATTGCTCGACTATTTGCTTTAATTGTGTTGTCCTATACTTTTCACTGTTTCAAATGTTCCCAATTTTTATTGTTATACTAGTCAGAAAAGGTTGTATCCTATGCAACAGGTGTTTAGGTGGAACCTTTGAAAGTTACCCATGGCCATTCAGTTTTAGAGCAATAGATGACGTTGATCAATTAGGTGTCTTATTCACAGCAAACTTTTGACTGTAGGGGTTTGCCTTGTATCATGAACACTACACAAGCTCCTATCATCACCATGAATTCATGTTAGTGATACTTGTAGATATGCTTGTATAATTAATTGCCCCCATTGACTCACTGCATTCTTGCTTGACTACGATTACTGAACACAAGCAAGGTCCATGTCGCTAGTGGCTGCAGCCACATTTTCGTTGGAACTGGACCCTAGTAGACCCTAAGTTCATGTCCTATGTCCTTTTCTAGACTAGCCACCACTCAATTCACACTCTTAAACATTACCTGAAATAAACTTTGAAGTACTAGATTCAAATATCAACAGTTGATCCATTTGCTTGTTTCAGTAGGGATTTCCAACTCACAGGACCGGTTCAGTGGTTTTCTTTTTAACTTCTACAGAACATGTACCATGGTAGACACTACATATAACCTCGCAGGGGATTTGAGAAATAAGGGAATGATATGTAGTACTGAAACACAAAGTACTGCCACCTTACCTGAGCTAAAACCTAGATGAATACCTTTCCTGATAGATGAAACCCCTGATGAGATTGGTATATTAGTTTTGTGTGTAGTTGTCACTTGTCAGTGCCTCAATGGTCGTCATATAACTGTAATTCATTTGTCTAGCAATAGTTTCACACTAGGATGTTCTGCTGATGCTTCCTCATTTTGTTTGTTTTTATGCCATGGAAAAGTAAAATTAGAATTAGACTTTCCTGTAGAGCTTGAGGGCATATGACATGCCAAAGTGTTGAGCTTTCTTTCTAACAGCTTACTGCTATATTATTTTCTTCTACGAGATTATACGCTGACTTCTTCCCATACCTGTGGAATGGGAACATTATTTGTTGTGCAGGTTATGTGAGGAAAATTACATATCGTGAGGACATTCAAAAGATAGATGAGCTAGACAATGACAAACTAGCATAGTTTGAAAGATCTGAAGTCATTCGGCTGCTGTAATTTTGTAACTGCTGCCGAATAGCTTGTGCTCACAACCTACAAATTGACCAATGGTTCTTTCCACTGCACATTCTACTGTTCAGGCACGATACATAGAGGGGTTGTTCTTTAAGCATTGTAAACATTACGTTAAAAAAAAACATTGTAAACTTAGCAATGGTGCCAAGTAATTGTACCCCTTTTACCTTTGTTATATATATATATATATATATATATATATATATATATATATATATATATATATATATATATATATATATATATATATATGATAACGACCGATACGTAAAAGAAAATAATAAATTTCAAGGGGATTCTTTTCTCGGCTGTATGGAACCTTTTTGGTTTGCTGTACGTTCGTTCCCAAGCAGCTTCGTATTAGAATCTTATACTTCGCACGTTGGCATGGTCCATCTGTTGCCCTCATTTCTGGTTTGAGATTGCCTACACTGCAAGCTCTGGAAGAATCCCACATTCTGAAACTTTCTGCAGCTCTCAGGCATGTATTCTCTCAAACTTTGCTGATGGCAGGCGACATATAAACTTTGATGGAGGGCCATCACCTCTATCTAGCCGCAGCAGAACAATTATTCATCGCAAAAAAAAAAAATGTCTCATCTGAGCATTCTATCCTTCAAGTACAATCTCGCGAAGCTCCGCTCCAAGGCCGGCCGGCCAATGGGGCGGCCGCTGTCGGCCAGGGACCGGCAGTTCTCCGACCTGAGCACCTACAAGCCCGACGACGAGGAGATGAAGAAAGTTTTCAAGATGATAGCTAGCCAGCCCCACGGGATCAGCAAGAAAGACCTCCAGCTGCTCCTGGAGAGGTTCGGGAAGGCCGACGCCGCCGCCGAGGCGCGGCGGATGATGTGCGTCGCGGACCACAACAAGGACGGGTACATGGACCTGGAGGAGTTCATGGAGGTGCACCGGAACGGCGTGCAGCTCGGGGACATCCGGCGGGCCTTCTTCGTGTTCGACATGAACGAGGACGGCAGGATCAGCGCGGAGGAGGTCATGACGGTCCTGCGCAAACTCGGGCAAAGCTGCAGCCTGGATGACTGCCGGAAGATGGTCAGGGAGATCGACAGGGACGGCGATGGCTTCGTGAACATGGACGATTTTATGATCATGATGACTCGCCCGCGGAGGAAGCCGTGAGCACCGAGCTAGCTTCCGTGCACGTCCTGATGTAAATAGTATGCAATGCAAATCATATCCTGTATAAGATGATCAGATTCAAACCAACGCTCATTTAGCTTGATCTTCTCTTCTGCTGTTTATCTTTCTGCAGCTTGCTGATGACACGCTATTAGGAATTTAGGATTGGTGAAACAATATTTGCTGTTAACAAATTGACCATCGTCTTTCACTGCTCTTTGCAGTTGCTCCTTTGCTCTGCACGAAGCAAACGCCATTACAGTCTTGTCAATGACCTGCAGTGTCTGACGTAGTAGAGAATAATCCAATAAAGCCACCGAAAGTACTGACACGAATAATCGGTGCCCATGAAACTTTACCAAAATTTCAAAGTCAATGCAAGCTTGTAGCGCATGCATCAAGTTGAAATCTAACACGGGCTGTCGTCCCGATTATCCTCTTTTTCCTTGCCGGGGTTGTCGTCATGCTCTTTTTCACGTTTTTTGTTGGGTTCGTTTCAACTTTGTATCTCACATTTTCTTCTTACTAAAATATGTACTCCGTGTTAAAAAAAATCTAATACATTTGTTCTGAGATTGTAAATCATATAGATATACATTATATCTAATAATCTATCTAAATATATAGGCTAATCACGAGAATGGAGGGAGCACGCTACTTTCTTCAAGCAGCACCATGCCACCACGAGAAAAACGAAGCGTGTATGGTTGCAGAGTTTAGACGAGAGAGCAATAATGCAGGGCGTCATTTCAGCATCCTATTCCATCTCCTTTTAACAAGATAGCACTATACAGTATACAGTATGCCCGATTTTCCTCTCTTTGCAGATTCCCACATTGTGCGGCTGCCCCGTGGTTACCTCTTGCATTCAGCTTAGACGATTCTCTTCCACGATCGACACAATCAATCAGCTGGATGATGAATGCAGAAGCTCATATCTTCAGCTTTTAATTTTGTCCTTTTCGGCCACTTGGGTGCAGATATATTCTTGCTCCATTCAACGAGTAGTGCACGAGGATCTAGACGGCGCGATAGATGCCGTTGTGCTCTTGGACCTGGCAGTGGCCTATTTGTCGACAACCAAATCTGCGTAGAGAATAAGCTAAGCTGCAAAAGGTCACAACAAGGCAGGGGTAGATAACCAAATCTAATACAAGCCGTGATAAACGACGTTACCCCTGAAAAAGTGACGGCAGCAGGCGTTGTATTGCACGCGACAGCCTTGCCAAATTGGCTTGCTTATATAAGGAACAATAGGTCTCAACAAGTTGCTGCACACACACACACATACAGGAAGAAAGGGTATAGGTCATTTGCAGAGGAGCTAGCTTTCTGTGCTGGTAGTGTTGTGAGGTGCTGCTCCTGCTGCTGCTGCTGCTGCTGCGCTCGACCGACCGATGGCGATCAAGAACATGACGGTGGCGGCGACGACGACGCGGTCGCTGGACGCGGACATGACGGTGGATGAGTTCAAGGAGTGGCTGCGGCGGTTCGACACGGACCGGGACGGGCGCATCAGCCGCGACGAGCTGCGGCGCGCCATGCGAGCCATCCGCGCCCGCTTCACGGGGTGGAGGAGCAAGCAGGGCATCAGCTACGCCGACACGGACGGCGATGGCTACATCGACGATAGCGAGGTGGACGGCCTCATAGAGTTCGCGCAGAAGAACCTCGGCCTCAAGATCGTCGCCTACTAATCTCGCATCTCGCAGGGGGAGCGCGCGGCGGGCCGCGGGTAGCGGGCGCTGGCTCGCCATGAGCTAGCTATAGCGACAACTCACCATCACTATCCCCAGCTAAAATAAGAAAGGGTTGATCTATCGCTTGTCTTCTGTTAAAAAATGCTTTTCATGTACTTAGTCAATTCGAGTTCGAGATCATGCACTAGCTCTCTGTGTCGTTGTTGTTGTGTGATCTATGTGTGTATGGTACTCATGGGTGTTGTGGATGTTAATTTGCTCTACTGAAATTGACGGTATAATGCTTGACCATCCCGCTACTACTATATTGAGGATATCTTCGAGTTACCCGTTTTGCTACTTGGTTAAAGTTGTGTGTGCAAGCTCCGGTCGATGCTCCTTAGACCTCGTTTGTCAGAGCTCAGCTTTGCTAGTGAAGTTTTTTTTTAAGCTTTATGAGCAGTTTTTTTGGTGAAGTTAAAGCTATTTTAGAGACATGTTTGGCAAAATAGCTTTTCATGTAGATTTCCTTAAAACATGCTTTCACGTAATCCCACACACAACCCACAAGTGTAAGGTGGAGCTATGAAAAGTTATTTTCAACTTCAACCCACCCCATTCCCATGTCAGACCCTGCCACCGCCAAGTTATTCAGGCTACAATCGCCGTCTCTTACAATATGGTGTTCCACCGCACGAGCCGTACCTTGCCGGAGATGTACGCAATAGCCTTGCGTTGACCACTGACCTGAACGCTTGGGATCCACTTCAGTGTCGACCAAGCCCATTTCTCAGTGTAAATCTATCTTTTACGACAAAAGACCCCCTAGGCAAGGCATCATTGTCATGTTACCTGAACTTATATAAATAAATGAAAACAAGAACAAAACAGGCTACGTAAAAGAGAAAATTATAACTAGATTTGATGAAGCCCTCACTTCCACTGCTTCCATTCCAAATGCAACCATGATAGCAGAAATATGGTCCCACACGAGAGGGATGCGTTGTCAAGAGCTGGACTCCTCACGATTGTCAGTTATAACTAAATTTGATGAAGTCATCACTTCAACTGCTATCATTGCAATTGCAACCATGATAGCAAAAAATCTGGTCCCACACAAGAGCTCCTTTCTTGCCTTCATTTTTCACAAGGCGAGTCCCTTGCAAAGAATCCTTCCACCATCCATCTCTTTTTCTTTGTCTTGTGTGGTGTGTCTCACACCCATTTTCATCATGCGGTCTCCTACCTCTCGCACGATGACTCATTTCCCTCGTTATGGTAGTAGAGTGGCCTAATCTTTCCGTTGAGATGAATATATCGATTGGAGGATGAAGACGACATTAAGGCCCTCTCGCATGATGACTCATTTCCCTCATCATGAGAGTAGGGTGGCCTAATCTTTCGGTTGAGATGACTATCTTGATTGGTGGATGAAGATGACGTTAAAGGCCCCCAGTACAACTGACTAATGACGCCGCGTCCTAGCGATAGATACACCACCTCTAATGGCTGCTCATGATCTTGTGCAGGACAATCAATCGGCCAAGAGCACTCATCCTGCAACTACAAGCAACCAAAGAACCAACTGGAAAAAATAAAACTTGCACTTGAATTGCTAGATTAATATAAAGGTTTCCATCTAAAAACACAAGATGGTTGGGTTCCGAAGACAAGTAGACAGACAGTCTAGCCGACTGCTAAGCAAAATAGCAATGGCTAAATCTAAATAAACAAAATCCAATCTATTCCTGGTGGCCAGAGACCTATCAATAGATGGGTGGATGACCACGCTAGTGTTGGGGTCGTGCCCCAACCCTAGGGTGCGTCTTTAACAGACTCAACTTGATACATAGGCCATCGACATAAAATAGAGTGACGTAGCACCGTGGCAGAATAGGTCTAGACATTGAAACGATGCTTGCAATCGAATCTGATTAGATATGAACACAAGTCCGAATCTATTGGAAAGTAGACTTGATTTTTTTTCCGTGAAGTACTAAAACTCCCAAACCGAAATATGTGTGAAGCCGTGATGACTGTCACAAATTGGTTGTTGTCCTATAGTCCGAATCTAGCCTACGCGAATCCATTTGCTTGTTAATCTTCTCCATTTGTTTTTGAACAATACAAAAGTGCTCAGATCTCTATGTTCTAGATAAGTTCGGTACAAGCTTAAGAACGAACTCATATAATAATTGAGTTGTCTCCTTCTATTTCTCCTGTGCCAATTTTGTTTTCAAATTTTTGTAAATTTTATTTGTTTTCTTTGCATTTTTTGTTTCGTTTTTTTTTTGAATTGTTTCTCGATGATTTTGAACATTAGTTTTCATTCCGTCGAATTTTTTTAGAGGATTTATTCACATATATTTGCGTATGCATATTGTTTATATATAAATTTGTATATATAGTTTCTTATATATATAGAAAAAATGGCCTCCAGGCTCCTTGTCAGTCCGAAACGTGGATTTGCTTCGTTAGACTCGACGGCCCATGAAGCAGAAGGTGTTCTGCGGTCTTTCTCCTTGTGCTCCGCGTGACCCACCTAATAAGATGAGAGGGTCTGGGCCTAAAAGGCTTGAGCTGGCGCCTGTCTTTGGGCCTACTAGTTCTCAATTTCGCCGCATACGTACGGAGTAATATCTAGCGCAGTGCGCAGCAGTGGCAGCAGAGCTAGCGAAGGAAGACCTTTCCTCTCTGTCATTCATCATCAGAAAAAGGAAGGGCTAGGGCAGCAGTGCGTCTCTGACTCTGCTTCGTCTGCCCGGCCCGGGCCATGCCCACGCCGCGCCAAGCCACGCGCAGCCGCCCTGCACGCCTCCACCTCCCTCCTCCAGGGCCCCCCGTCTCGTCTCCTTCAAATCGGATGCAGGCTGCTGTAGCGCTGTGCCTGCAGCGGCCGCTGGGCGCTGGCCCCCCCTGCCCGCGCGCATGCAGCAGATGCAGGCATTTGTTTTTGTCCCGTGGGCACGGCCGGTGGCATGGCATGGCAGCCAGAGATCGAGCGCAGCGGCAGCGGCAGCGGCGCGGGGATGGGCCCGGCCCGGGGAGGAGGCAGAGGCAAGATTGACAGCTCGTGTCCAGGTTGAAAGCTAAAATTGTGTTTTTTTCCGGAGCGAGGGAGCAAGTCACCTCCTAAATTTGAGCACTGTGGCGGTGATCACCAGGTAGGCGGAGGAGAGAGGGCTGCTGCTGGACTGGAGGAGCATTACGCGACAGGGCGGGAGATGCGATGGGGCCGGCAGCTGCAGAGGCCAGAGGCAGAGCCCTCCTCTCCTCCGCTCCGCCCGGCCTACCTCTACCTCCCCGGGTCGGCTTCGGCTCCCCCGCCCCGCGCCGGCGCAAGAGGACAAAGAGGTCCGCATGCCGGACGCGGACGGTGCGCTCCCTCCCGTGGATGCCGGCATGCCGCTGCGTGCCCGCAAGTCTCATCTCAACACGCTTTCCATTCTTGTTTGAATCTTTGGTGACGACCAGGCCACCACAGCTTTGACCACATGCCCAGCACCAGCTAGTACAGTACTTACAGTAGCTATAATAGGCGCGTGTTTAGTTCTCTAAAATTTGGAAATTTGGCTACTCTAGCACTTTCGTTTTTATTTGACAATTAATGTTTAATTATGGACTAATTAGGCTCAAAACATTTGCATTTTGTAACAAATCAATTAGTTTTTTTTTTCGCTTTTACATTTAAGATGAATATCGTAAGATTCGATGATAATAACAATTTTGAAAAGTTTTTGGAACTAAATAAGGGCTAGTACCATAGATCAACACACCTAGTACTTGCATTTTGTAACAAATCGATCACAAATGAATAGTCATGTAATAACAATTTTGCAGATTTTTTTAATAAAAAAGCACCATTATATTTTTTCTGCAAAATTCACGACGCTTATGCTGAAATTTGGTTTGTGCTGATGTTTATGTTGAAATATTGTGAGAAAAAATGTTATACGGCTGAAAAGTAACTCATTCTCCGTTGATCTCAAAAGCTAGCTACTACTCGTGATTACTACACCCAGAGAGCCACCAACATGCAAGCACTGCTTTGTGGAGTGAGCTGAGGCCTGAGGCTGAGGGGCGGCCGTGCCAAAAAGCAGACAAGCATGGGAACAGCTAAACAACACATACATCAGGGACCACACCATGTGAGTACTGCATTTAACCGGCCCTTTCAAAACATCAGAGATAGGCACCGCACTGCTAGCGGCGAGAGTTACACTACAGCTACACTACACGCGACCCACCATGCATTACAATGCAGAGCTAGCATCCATGGATAGATGGATGCATCTACTCGACGAACGAATTACTGCCAAGAAACAAATGATCAAAATTCCCTTATACACCTAGAATAGATAAATATAAAAAAAAGGAAACAAGCTGCGGCAAAGAGGTAAAGGACGAAATGCACATTGGTGTGAGCCACCACAGACGTCTTCGTGTTTGGCTTCATCTCCGGTTGGCTAAGCCACGTACTGACATGATGGAGATATAGATCAGCTGGCTAGCTCGATGTATGCCAAATCATCCATCAACAATCAGATGATGAGCAGCCAGCTGAAGAAAGGCACACTTTACCACCCATTGACCTTGCAATATTTCACCCGCTAACAAGTCACAACTGAATGAACTGATCCTGCTTCAGTCTCTCGTGTTTCCCTGCTGGCCTCCAAGATCCTGCGAATGTTGCATATATACATTGCTGTCAACTCTCAACTGCCATTGATTGTGATTTCAAAAATGAAAGAAATATGTGCAATCTGGCGCTCAGTTAGGATGAAGAAATCTTGGATATTGGATGCAGAAGCAAGTACTCTATGCCCCAGAGAGTTGCAGGTAGTTTCAACTCTCAACAACGATTCAGAAAACGCCAACGGTGGCAACAGGGTAATGGGACAATGCACTATAACCAGATAGAGTGGCACTTGGACTACTCAGTGATGCGAAGAATTGTGAACGAAGATGTATCCATCCGAGATGTTAGCGGTTAGTGACGTACCAGCATATGGACGTCGGTGGACGTGCCGGCGGCAGCGTCGGCGGCGGCGGCGGCCTGCTTCTTGGGCGCCTTCTTGAGCCCGAGCAGCTCCTTCCACCGGATGTTGGGCGCGCGGGGCACGCGGCCGTGGCGCTCGTCGGCGCGCAGCTCGTCGCGCAGCGTCACGGGCCGCCCGCTGCAGGCGCCGGCCTGATGCGGCGCCTCCCTGAGCGGCAGGAGGCGGCCCTTGGAGAAGAGCTGGTCGGCGGCCATCATCGGGTGGCTGCCGACGGAGAACTCGAAGTCGGGGTCCCCCGGCGCCGAGCCCGCCCCGCGCGCGGCGGCCGGGGGCGGCGGCTCCACCGCGAAGTCGCTGGAGAAGGACATCCGCGGCGCCATGAAGGACGGCGCGGGCTGGTGCTGGTGATGCTCTGGGTTGTACATGTTAACACATGCCATGCATCGCCACGCACACGCGCTCTAGCTGGTTGTTCCTCTCCTCTCCCTAGCTAGCTAGCTCCAACGACCTCGCTCTGAGCTCTTGTGCCCGTTCGTTATCAAGCTTTGAGATCAAGAGCGGAGCTAGATAGCTAGGTATAGAACACTCTGGTGGGTCTCTAGCTGGCTTGTGAGTGAGCTGCTAGCGGAGCAAGCTCGATCAGCTCGTGTAGCCACTGGTTAGTGGATGTACTTGTGACTAGTGGGGAGAGTGATGGCTATGAGTAGTGGAGCAAGCTCAGATAGCTCTCGTGAAGGGGTTGGTTTGGTCCGGGGACGGGGCACGATATATAGTGGGAGCCTGCCCTGCTAGGAGGCCGACCTGGTAGGAGGCCGGGAAGCAAAGCAGCGAGCGTGGGCGCGGCCGGCGGACGGATGGGCAACCGCGCGCGCGAAGCCGAGAATGCATGGGATGATGCAGAACGGGCCGACGGAACGGACGGGCGCCGGGGCCTCGCCGGATGTGGCGGTTTGGATGCACGCGGAACGTGCGCGTGTGAAGGCACACGAGGAGGGTAGCATCTAGATCTGCCGTGTAGGGTGCTGGCTAGGCATGGCGCTGCGAGATTTTTTTTTAAGGTCCCGTTCGGCTTACCTTAAAAGCCGATTTATTCAGTTTTTTTTTAGAAAAACGGTATTTTTTCTCACAATAATTCAGCTTTGGCTTATTTTTCAGCTAATTTCAGCCAAGTGAACGGGGAACTGGATGATGATGATGAGCTAGGGAATAGGGATGCCTTCTTGGCTAGGCATGGCGCTCTTTGGAGGGTTGCCGGTGCCAGCACTACTACAGAATTGGACATTACCGTCGACCTTGTCACTGCCGGATTTTTAGAAACCGACACTGATAGTTCATCACTGCCGGTTTTTGGCTAAAACCGGCAATAATAGAATCAACCGACACTGATATTCGGGTCTTCGCTGTTGCTGTCGGTTCATATCACAGTCGGTTTTAGCCAAGAACCAACACTGATACTATTACTGTCGGTTCGTGACTTGAAACGACAGTGATATGCTACAAGAAAACTTCATAAGTTTCTCATATGATGTCCGATGAAGACGAACTTTATATCAAAGTTGTAGTACTCGATGACATCCACAACTTTGTAGTTTAATTTTTTTTAATTTGAGATCATTTAGATGTCCAAATATTTTTATTTGAAATCATCTATCTAACGAAAATTACGTTTGATTTCTAAAATTAAAATTTTGAATTTTTCAAACGACCCCGGATAGAGAAACGCTCAAAACAAAAGTTATAGATGTCGAAAAGTTATGCAACTTTGTAGTTGACAACTTTTTCATTTAAAATTATTTACTACTTTAAAATGTTGTTTAAAATTAAATTTTAAAATTATTGAAGAACTCTGATTTTGCTTTTTAATCTCTGGCTAAAACTGGTAACTAGTCTTTCTCCATCATACTAACTTTAAATTTGATGATTTTTTTTCTAAAAATTTCTAAAATCATGCTCTATCAATTTATTTTGTTCTTACAGCTATTATTTTATCTATCTTTTCCTGTGACTGTGTTTTATCTATTTGAATTTTGAATTTAAAAAAATGACAACTTCAAATGTTATTTTAGAACACTAAATGATTTCAGCTGAAAAAGTCATAAACATAGAAGTTGTAGAACTTATCAAGATCTATAACTTTTATTTTGGTCATTTCTTCATCCGATAAAGTAGTAGTGACATTGTTCACAAAATTTACATATCTCTCTTATACTATAGGAGGGATATGTAACATTTGTGAACAATGTTACTACCACTATGTCGGATGAATAAATGATCAAATGATTAAAATAAAAGTTGTACATCTCGAAAAGTTATGAAACTTTGTAGTTGACAACTTTTTGATTTGAAATCATCTTGTGAAGGAAAATTACGTTTGAAATTCAAATTTTGTAAATGATTTCGGATGGAGAAACTACCAAAATGAAAGTTGTAGATCCCAAAAAGTTATGAAATTCTGTAGTTGATAACTTTTTGATTTGAAATCATCTTGTCAAGAAAAACTACGTTTGAATTTTCAAAAAATTGAAATTTAAATTTTTTAAACGATCTCGGATGGACAAACAGCAAAAACAAATATTGTAGATTTCAAAAGGTTATGAAACTTTGTAGTTGATAACCTTTTGATTTGAAATCATCTTGTCATGGAAAACTACGTTTGAATTTCTTAAATTTGAAATTCAAATTTTGTAAATGACATCGGATGGAGAAACTACCAAAATGAAAGTTGTAGATCTTAAAAAGTTATAAAACTTTATAGTTGACAACTTTTTCATTTGAATTCGTTTAGGGTCTGAAATACTCATTTCAAAATTAGATGAGCATAAAATGGCTAGGACGAAATTCTCATTTGGACACAATCAACTTGTAGATGGAGTGGTTAGGGGCTGAAGACACGAAGCAAAAGGTCAGGGGTTCGAGCGTCGGTAACGGCGAAGCGTGTGTTTTTTTGCGTGAAAAACTTGTTACTTGTGACTTGTGACTTGCGATGCGTGACCATGTGGGGCCTCTCCTGAAATTAAAAATGCCTTATTTTTTCGGCTTTTTTTTTAGATTTCCTAAAAACCACATCAGTGTTGGTTCATAAGAACCGGCAGTGATGTCAACCCCACATCACTGCCGGTATGCCACTACCGGTTCAAAATCCCACAGTGAAGGGGGATTTTGAACCGGCAGTGAGGTTGAAAACTGGTGTAGTGCGGGTAACAAAATGGGAGTATTTTATAAATCATGGCACATTGTCGCTCGACGCTTCGGTGGTGTTACGACTTGCGTTGCCCCGGCACTGGCAGCTGGAAGGTGTTTCTTTTTTACCCAAAAAACAGTAGACATATACATGCGTGCAAACCCTGCCCGTAAGGAACTACGAGAGATAGGGGAAGGAGTGACCTTAGGTTGTTCCTTGTTATCAATGGACATGTCAACACCACTAAGGGCTTGTTTAGATGCACTCGTATTCAGCTTGGAATGGGATGTAACTTAATTTAATTTCACCCCGATTCACTCCAACATACATAGATTGAGGCGGATACAAGTGCATCCAAACAAGACATGAAAGAGTATAATTGACCATAATTGTAAGCATACATACATAGTCGGACACTCGAACCAGATAAATAGGCTTAGAGACTAACAAACTAAGCTATGTTTAGCAAAAAGATGTTAGCTGGTGTGGTAAAAGTTCATCTAGCTAGGCCCTAAGTGGTTTTTGCTAGTTAATGATATTTCTATTATTAATGGCCTAATGAGTTTCGTTGCACACAAGTAGGTATTAAAGCAAAAGGATGAGATGCTTCTGCTTAGCAACCTTTTTCCACTACTACAAAATCATCAGTAAAGTGAGCACCACTAACTGTCAACTCCTATCACTGTTGGTTTTGCCAACCAACGGTGTTGCTCCTTTCATAAAACAAACAAAGACAAAAAGTAGCAGCTCATAGCCCCCCTCTCCACCCATAGCCCCGCGTGTGCCTATCTTCCATGTGCTGCTAAGTCGATCGAGGAGGGAGATAGAGAGATAGTGAGCCTAGGTAGGGAGAGAGAAGAGAACTTGCGCATGGACATGAGCACCAATGGACTTAACTAGATTAAATGAAGTTGTGGAGACTCAACAGCAATGAAATGAAATTTTAGGTCTATCACTGGCGGTTAACCATAACCGTCAGTGATAATATCAATGTCGATTTTGAAGCAACCAACAATGATAATGAGTTATCACTACCGAATTCAAAACAACCAATTGTGATAAACATATCGATGTTGGTTTCTAAGTTACTGGCAGTGATAATGCCGACAGTAATGACCACTTTTGTAGTTGTAACCTCCCTTGCAAAAAGAAAAATTGGAGAGCGTCACGTGAAGGTCTCGAAGAACATAGTATTTAAATGCATTCACCCTTTGAAATAGAGTTTAGGATGTTGTACTATAAATGGTGACACATTTTCATGTGCTCATAGCCCCCCCCCCTCTCCAGGCATAGCCCCGTGTGTGCCTACGCCACTGTGTTTGTCTTCCATGTGCTGCCAAGTCAGGGAGGGAGAGAGAGAGAGATAGCGAGGCTGGCAGGAAGAGAGAAGAGAACTTGTGCATGGACATGAGCACCTACGGACTTAACTCGATTAAATGAAGTTGTGGGCGCGAGTACCTACATACTCAACTGCAATGAAATGAAATTTCAGGTCCAAATATATATATCACTCGCGGTTGTTAACCATAACTCACAGTGATAGTATCACTGCCAATTCTAAAGCAACAAATCTTGATAATGAGTTATCACTACCGATTTCAAAACACCGATTGTGATAACATGTCACTATATATTGGTTTCAATAACCGACAGTGGTAATGCTAACAGTAATAACCAATCTTGTAGTTGTGACCTCCCACTACAAGAATTCAGGTGGTACATGACGATCTACTTTCGTCATGACACTCGAAAACACGTCATGCTTAACTTACGATGACAATCGAAAAAAAACGTCATGTATCCCGCGTCATACATTTGTAGGACCGAATTGAGCCGTCACAGATTGGCATTTGTGTTCGTCATGGATTAGATTTCTGTCTCCTATAACCAACCCATATCCAAGCCCAAATCCAAACCATAGTGACGAAAAAGAACATCACAAATTAGTGCCAAATCATCACTGCAATAACATGCATTATAGCTCATAAGATACACCAATCATATAAACAAACATTTATCATTCATGTATTAGCAAGCTCACTCATGTCACATTTTATCACAGCCATATAGTTTGACTATCACAACAACTAAGTTTGAACTTAAAGATTTCATCCCTAGGGAATCCAAAATAACTAAACATATGTGCACTTCAATTGGCTTGCTGTCCATAAGATGTGCTACCTGAAAATTAAAATGAATATAAGGTAAGTCAGTTTTCAGCAAAGATTCTAAAAAATGTCACCATATTAGGAAGCTTTG